CGGCCGACTGTTCCGGATATTCTCTGTTCGTTGTCACCACAATGGGCAAGCGGCGATTTCTTGCCGGACATTTACGAGGTCCTCGGCCATTGTGACACTGTTGTCGCCTTTGCACTCTGGAGCAATTGTATACGTGAAAGCCCCGAAATCGTACGAGATTTCATGCTCCCTAATGGTCTATTTTGCGCGTGTTAAATTGAATTATCAATGCAGAATAAAGAAAATAAATTATAAACATGCAATATAGAAAGAAAAAAAATTTAATATAATTTTAGTTTAGTTTAAATTAACTTAACATGCATATTGATTCTAAAATCATAACTAATTCTACGTTGTAATTTTACACTCATTTTCTGCAGTGTATAATGCATCTAATAATTTTTTTCATTTTCTTCCTGCGTTCTTTAAAAATTCTAAAGCACTTTACGTCTTTATCTAAATTATTGATTATTTAGTATCTTATCAAAACATGTCTCTCTTGTGACATTATCGTGAATTTTACTTTATCGTGAAATTTTTGCAGTTTATCTGCAGATAAAAATTTATCTAAATGTTTCTGAAACACATAGTGATTGTTGTGAATTCCAACGTATCTAAAAATTCTATGCTCACATCTAGACCGTTTGTGCCCCGAAACGCCTCGCTGTCCGAACATTTACAAGGTCTTTCTCATTGTAACATTATTGTGGAGGCTGCGTGTAACCGGCCCGACCGCTCATTGTCGCGCGTCCAGCTTCTCCACTCGTACGGAATACGCGCGTGCTCGCGGCTTGCCCGCCGCAGACAATGGTGACAATGACCACTGGGTGGACCGTTTAGTTCACAGGCGGACCCGGGAACATTGTCAACTGGACTGGCGAAAAGCGGGTGTCCTTTCCGTAGCCCAAGGTGCGACCTTTCCAGCGTCGAGTTGCGCTCCTCGCAGGCATTGATCTTCCTGTCGAAACTCGATGTTTTCCTGTACGGGTGCGTTCGGAAGCTACACCAGAGTGAAAGTTTTTATTTATTGTCTATAGTATATATATTTATTTATTTATTGTCTATAGTATACTATTGAAGTGTTTATTGTCTACTATAGTGTCTACTATATTGTCTACTAATATTTATTGTCTATAGTATATTATAGACAATAAATAAAAACTTTCACTCTGGGTGTAATTTCCGAACGCACCCTAAATGTATAAGAAATCTTTATAATACTTGGATATTATAATCAAATACTGAAGAATTGCAAATTTTTTTTATGCATAGCTTTGCACGTTTGTGAATTTTTGGATTTTGAATTTTGGATATTAAATGGAAATTTTATAAGTATTTAAATACCAAATTGTCGTTTTTATATTCTTAAATTTATATAAATATTAAAATTAAAACATATGTATTGGTATGGAATTAAATGAATGAAATAGATTTTGTTAAAAGAGTATCCTTCCTTTTCCAAACATTATATTTTTCTAAAACGGTCTATTCTTTTCTGGATCTCTTTCAATCCTGGATTTTCCGAGATTCAAACTCAACTCGAATTTACGTCTTTGATTCTTTCGTCTGTGTTACTGCTCGGGACCAAAAGCGTAAAGAACGATGCAAATTCACCAGAGAGTGGACGAAAGCCCTTTCAATCGGGTGCGCGAGGATTTTAATCAGAGACAAAGCTCACAAAGCACCGACGGCTCTCGACCCGACCGCCACTTTCAACTCAGAAGCTGCTTTACGGTTTACCGCTCGCAGACTTCCGTTTGTGGAATGGAATAATGCCGAAAATACCATGCGCACCATTTCCAGCGCACTATTTTGCGATGAAAAATGTTACAAAGGAATGATTTCGATATATTAATGGACGGGGGAAAAATATTTTGAAATTGACGCAATATGCATAAATACTGCAAAGTAGTTTGTGCGTAAGGTAATATAAAACTTAGTGCAATTTTTTTTTTAAGTCAACTTAAAAGCTTCAAATAACGTTCGAGGAAAATCTAAAAATCAAAATAAAATATGAAAAAATAGTTACATTATATGATGACTTAACATTAAATTCTGTTACATCTAGCTGACTCGGGCGACTACGTATGGCGATGCTGGAAGCTGGCGGGAACATCATTCTCGTAAGACTCCTCTTTATCAACGACTCATCTCTGTAGAATCTGAATACACAGTCGCGTCGCGACAGGGATCACCAGGAGTCACCGGGAGTGCGTGAGCACCGGCAGCGCCGACAGCTCACTTCGTCGACGTGTTTTTCAGCATTCCACCGGTCAGTTTCCCCTGTAAACACTCGACTTAATCGACGCCGCGGAATAAGAACGACCATAGGCAAACGACGACGGCGAGGGTCAAACGATACGCCGAGCGCTGTTTTCGCGGATTCCATCATCGGGGGCCACCGAGCATCGGCAGGAATTTCTGATCGGAGCGACGGTTTCCGTCTACGTCGTGACGAAACCGGTTTCTCTTTATGACGGGATATCGGACGGTCGCCCTATGGTCTCTCAGTCGGCTCGGAGATCGTCTTCCTCCTCCTCCTTCTTCTTCGTATCGTTCCTGAGGAAAACACAACAGCGGTGAGGGGTGAAAGGGTTAAGCATACGCCGGAGCAGGAAAAAATAGCTGTCGTCTTTTTATCGTATCATCTCTACGTGAAAAATGCATGACCCGGTGAACCACGAAAAGTTTCTTAAAAGAAAGTTAGCCGTGAAATAATTAGAATAAATCATTATTCGAATGATAGTAATTGCAATAAGAAAAAAATGAAGTTTAATTGTTCCATTTCTTATATTTTTCGTAATTTTATACAAAATTTATTAAAGCAAATTGTTAATTAAAATTAACAATAACTATCTTCTGTGGAAAAAGTGTGTGTTATTTAATCTCAAAGAATCAATTAGTTTAAATAGGATGATAAACCATGGCTGGTAGCAATTATAATAACAAAAAGAACCATTATATTCTAATTGTTCTAAAATATTTATTGTATTTCATTATATCTTAAAGAATTTTAGAGTTGAATTATTAAATACAATTTCGTGCTTTTAGATTCGGATTAATATTGCTGCAATCCCAAAGTGGTCTTTAATAATTAATTTTTCTCGCATGTCAGTATTTTTTCCGTGGAAAAATTCATTGCATTATTTCATATTATGAGGCTCATATTTATTTACCGCATGCTAATCCAATTGTCAAATATCGAAAGTTGCATTTCGAAGCTGCAATATGCTTGATGGAGTAAAAATTAAAAATACACGCATTGTACAGAATCATAGCGGTTACAGAAAGGACATGATGCGAATTAAAAATAAATAATTCCAAATGAAATTCCAGAACCCAAAAGAGTTGAAAATGTCGACAACTTTGCTTGCAATAAAACTCATCATAAATATTTTTTTTTCTTTCTCAACAAAAGGTAAAAGATTCTTTTGGCCGAGGAAGAAAAGATCTTACAGCACTACCAGTTTTGATTACCCCAGAGGTTACGACAATGTGCAGGGCACAGCGGCGCCGGCTCCTCTCTCCCTCAGTCACCCTTTTGCCCTTCTCGAGCAAACCCGTTCGCCGAGAGCGAACGCTTTATCATAGCACGAAGCGAGCGTGCGAACCGCAAAAAGGGGCGGGATGCGCGTGTCGCGCGATGAGTGGGGCGACGTGGGCATGGCCTCGCTCGAAACCCCAGGTCTCCGGGTCCGTCCCATCGTACGGATGTTGCCGCCGAGTCTGTCGAGGCGGCGCTGCCGACACTCGGAATTGGACTCGTATCGCGTCGGTAACTTCACTCCGTATCGCGGCTCCGGCACGTCGGAACCGTCCGGTACTCTCACCTTGGCGCAGCCCGAGTCGTCCCACGTCTCTCGTCCCGTGCAGCGAGCCCGCCCGTCGTTTGTCGCCGCGTCTCTCCACGGCGGAGCACATGGGACACGGGGGATCGCCCTTACGCACGCTCGACGTTCCTCCCGCGGGGATAAAAGAACAGTTTCGCGCGTAAAGTGTGATCTCTCAGTCAGTTGTTTTAATGGCTGACTCGCGTGTGGTGACTTTTCCAGTGTCGAGACTGTTTTAGTGCGGGGTGCGCGGACGCTCGGCAGTTCGTCGTCGTCGTCGTCGTCGTCGTCGTCGTTGTCGTCGTCACTTTGTTTCGCGGTGCGCCGGACAGCGATGCGGAGTATGGACAACGAGCCACGGATAATTCAGAACTGCCCGGACTACGCCGGCGACGGTTACGGACGTCAGTGCTGATCTGTGAAGTGACATGTTATTGCTCGCGCGCGATAATAACCCGTGGACTTCGTTAAAGAGCGAGATGCACCCGTGAGGGCTCCTCCCTCGACTATCCACGAAGGTGTCACGGAGGGATTCCAACCCTCCCCACGTTAGTGTCGTGATATCGGGAGTGTTACTGGCAGAGAAAGAGAGAGAGAGAGATAGATAGAGAGAGAGAGAAAGAGAGAGAGCGAATAACTGCGCGAGAGAGGAGGACAAGGGTGAAAACGGTAAGAGAGGTGGAAGGAAGAGAGGACCCGAGCCACAGCGGACGCCATCTCCGCGTTATCGGCAAGCGGATCCCTCGGGACTCCCCCCCGGGCAACATCGGCGTCGCGCACCCTCGGCGGGAACTACCCCGCGACAGCGGCCACCCTGATGGGAGTGTATGAGGAGCGCGCCCCTCCTACCACCGGCATGCACTGGGTGAGTGTCATCCCTATGTCCGCGTTGCCCATTGGCCGTCGTGCGCCAGCTGATACACCCCGCCGGGGTGGAAGCTCTCCTCTCGCTCGGATCCGCGAGAGCGGGCGATACGCGAGCATCTCTCCCCTGTCGGATTCAAGATGGTGAACGGTGGAACTCGGTGCTTTATCCCTTTTCCGTATACAAGTGATGAATTTCCGAGAGAGCGCTCTTTTTTACCTGAGAATTCTCACCACACGTTCGTACGTTAGGGTTCGATTTGTGTAACGCGACGGTTGCAGGTCCGTTCCGACGGTTTTTGTGTGGCCTGCGAATATAAAAGAAAATGACCTATGCACGATGATATTGTGAAAGATCGGATGAGCGTTATTCGTTAATATTTTGAAAATATAGAGGGATACTTATTTTCTGATAGGATTTGATTGATGCTTTTCTATTCTCAATCAAGCGTTCGCTAGAACTTTAATTGTGAAAATCTGAAAAAGCCTGATGAAGACTAAGCAATTCTGATAACGGTTGATACTGCAATTGAAGTTGCAATGAATAAATTTTCGAGAGCAGTTTTGAATTCATAATTCTTATCGATGTTCGAGCATTATCATGGTTCGATTTGTGTAACGCGACGGTTCGGATGAAGTCAGTTCTGATCTATGGAATATGAAAGAAAATGTCTTATGCATGATGATGTCGTAAGAAATGATCGGATGAGTGTTATTCGCTAACATTTTCTGGATTGACACATTTTCATGCTCAATCAATCTTTTATCAGAACTTCTATGATGAAAATTTTGCAGGAAATGAATTGTTATATTAGAGTGAATAAAATTAACATGTTTTATTCTGGTGAGAATTTAAATATAAACCTAAATGTCAATCTTAATAACGACTAATGATAACTTATTAACGATAATTATATGCAAATGAAATTAAGACAAGTAAATTTTTGAGTGCGATTTTATTGACATTTCTTATCGATTGTGAATGCGACTTGTGTGTAATATGATCGAAAATTTAATATTTCTTATTTTGATGCTTAAATTAAGCAAGAGATGAATATATTAAATAAAAATTTGAAATCTTATATTGCGGAAAATTCGGCAAAAAATGTGGAATACAGTTTATCTAGATCGAAAAATGAAAAAAATTCTATTATATCTCTTTTTATCTTTTCGCAATATTTCCAACATGTAAAATTATGAAAATTTTGTCATATTTTTAGTAATAATATAATATTTATTCAAGAGTATAGAAAACATATTCGCTGCATACGTTTGAAAATTAATATAACGTTTGAAGTAATGCAGTGAATATTTCATTTGCTTTCGTATTCGTGAAATAATTGCAAAGTAGAAGAATTGAAAGAAAAACTGGTAAAATGTAACAAAATTTCTTAGAAGACATACATTTTCGTTCACTTTTCAATGCCCACATTAACCGAATTTATAACTTTAATTATTTTCTGAATTAAACTTTATTTAAAATTAAATTTTGATAAAAATTTCTAACTTATATCTTGCTCGGCTCTGAAATTGCTTTGCATGGTAAACTCACTTTTAAAAAACAACGTGTGGTATAGTTTAGTATTAATTTTATGCGTTGTAAAATAGCTTTCTCATAAATTACCAACATAAATTATTTATTATTTCAATAGCTTTCCCTAACAATGAAACGTTTATGCATCCAATCGTCAGACAGGCTTGTGCATCCAAGAATTGCATTAAAATGTCAGTGCGAAATATCATAGAAACGACAGGTTCTCGCGCTCTCTTACTTTATGTTAGTAGATCGTAATTCTGTCTCTGGTTCTCGTCAGCTATTTTCATAATAGCCTGCACATTTCTAGGACATAATGTAATCTATACACATTTTCTGTTCCGTCAGGAATGTAACTGACATAAAGCTACTCTTAAAATGCTGTTCAAATGCCGACATTCACGGAATGATATATTGATATATGAAAGTCGGCGTCCAATATCGTAAACGGCGTTGATGTTCAAAATTTGCATAAATTTGGAAATTATACCTCTAAACATGTGACTACATAATAGCTTTGTAAGAATCAGGTTAAAATTTCTATTTCACATGGAAATCTGATTTTGATTTAATGAATGTGTACTTCAATTATGTAGGCGCAAAACCAATTTGCGTGCTTTTCGCGATAATGAAAATGCAAGATATATGTTCCGCATATACATACAACAGCGAAATTTACTTACTTGATTTTATACAAGTTTGGAGAATTTTGTCGTAACCGTCGCTGCGGAGCTGACGAGCCAGCTTGATTTGAAAGTGCGATGGAACGGAACCAGGTTGAGTTTAGCTCGTGCAGGTGCGAATCCGAGACGTGCGACGGGCGCAGAGAGAGAGCATTCGAAAGCAGATCTGGCAGCAAAATTTTACTCGGCCGTTCTGAATTTTATTTCATAAAGTTACAAGCTTTGTAATATATTAGATCGAATGATACAGCATTGCTATCACAAGTTCATAGCGCTATATATTTTATTACAAACAAATTGTAACTTAAATCAAAGTCCAATCTGCATTTTATTGCTTATATTAGCAAAATATTCCAAAATATTATATATTTTGAGAATAACATGAATTGCTATTTTAAATTATTAGTTTAACTCACTGAAATAAGCATATGTTCAACAGTTATTCATTATTCACTTGCGCGTATCTTTTTCTGATCGAAAAAGAAAATTTGAAATCCCGGGAAGTTTGTCCAAAATTCACAGTGTATTATATAAATGTAACAACAAATCTAGTTTCTTCTGCATAAAATACTTATGGATTTTCAAGTTTGTTAAGATTAACAACAGATTAACATTCTGGAAATGCAGTTGTCTTGCATATTGCGTTTGTCAAAATATTAAAAAATTCTAATAACCGGAAATTAGATTGTATAAAATAATATATTTTAAGTAAATTAAAAAATTCATATTAATCGTTCCAATGCGATTGCGAATTAATATCAAATAAAACCATCTGCTCTCGTAAACGATTAAACTAACGGTAGAATCTCAATAGAGGCGATCGATAATTATTCGGTAGTTAAAAGCAATGGGATTACGTGGTCGGGTGTGATAACCACGGTCCACCTTCGAGTAACATTAATTTACTCTTAATCAACCGGTTCGAGACCGTCGTAAGTAACGAGTACTGCTTGTAAACAAACGTAATTGATTGTCCCTTGTCGTCGATTAATTAAACCGGCGCATTAATCACGCGTGCGCCAATGAAAGGAGCTGAGCGTAAAGTAACGTTGCGAAAAGTAACATGACGTCTCTACGTTTAATTCCACTACGTTGACTGCTATTAATTAATCTCTGTCGACAAACGAATTGGAAGTATTCAATATTTTATTTCCAACATTTTCAAAATTTCTTCCTTTTCAATGCTGTCAATTTTATTATTATGTATTTCATATTTTGTGCCTCTCGTTCCGCCGCTTGAAATAGTTACGCGAGAGCTTGAAGTACGAATAAAACTTAATTTGTAAATAAATTTACGCTGTGAAATATCCAAATATAATTCTGGATGTCGAACGCACAACAGGAAATGCATTTATACGCACATATTTGTTATACGATGGCTTTTCGTTATGAAAATTATTTGTCGCGAAGCGTCAATTCGGCATAGTTCCGCCTAACACTTGCCTTGAGAAGACGGAAATATATATTAGCGTAGATAGATTGCAGTTCTATCATATTTTATGTGAACCAAATACAGAACGACAATTAGAATGTTGCCAAAACAATTTGGCTATCGCTCACAAACGTCAAGCAGTTTTTAATATAAAAATTTTATCATTTTTACTAGCGTAATTGTGTAAAGTGAAAAAAATGATATAAAATGATGTAATAAAGGCCTTTACGCTTTCCGCTAGAGCTGCATCAAAGACAAATTTTCTTTTACATTGAAAATTGTTGGATCTTTTATTCTATCTACTCGTTTATAAATAGCAGCCAAATAGTTTCAATAACATCTGTACGCTCACCATTTTTTCAACACACTTTCCTTTTCTTTCAATATATGCAAATATATACGATACAATATATATAAATTCTATAGAATACAAAAATGATTTGCATTAAACTGAATAAATAAAGTCAAGCTAACGAATGAATGTAATTTATATTCAAATCAATCAATTCATTTTCCGAGATCGACATACGTGAGTTGTGAAGATTAATTGTGTTATCTGCTTATGTATAATTTTTTCAATATAAACTAAGTGGAAATGTGGATTCAACATTACTAAAATATCGTATCGCAAATATTAACTAAGTATTGTATCAGAATGTGCGTAAGCGCCATGCAGGCGAGATAGAAGCATCTAGCGAATATTTCTGTGCAGCCATCGAATATTCCGCGGACACTAAAGTAGCCTCGCCACAATTTCGAATCCACTTATACCGCCTGCATTCTCATCCAGGAAAATACGTAAAGCGTATCGGCTTTCAGATATCATTCGATTTGGCGTCGGTTAGTCTCACAGCGCGAAACTTTTCCAAACATGTTCGCAGACGCGAAAAGAAAGAGGGAGAAAGAGAGAGAGAGAGAGAGAGAGAGAGAGGACGATCATTGTGGCTTCGGTGAGATAAGGCCATCTTGCTGCGAACGTGTCTGGCTGCGATAGAGCGCCGTTTGTGACGACTGTAATTTATTACACGCCGAGATTATATCCGCCGCCCGCCGTCGTGGCAGTCATCGTCGCGGCCAGAACTCGCTCGACGTTTAACTTCGCACTCGAGGCAGTCCAACCTGGTCGGCTTCACCGCTGCACTTGTTGTTGACGTTATCACTTGTCCGTTATTTCATAAATGGACATATATACAGGGTGTCAGGAAGAGAAGCGCTCATTCATTCGACGATGTATAACGATCCGCGAGTGGAAGCTTCTTTACCAGCGCGAATTCTATTAAAACAGCGTTGATGTTTAAACATGAAGTTAACTGGAAACATTAAAACGCTGGTTGTCGGCGTGTTAACACCGA